TCTGGACCAGGTGGTTGCATAGTGGTTAAGGTGGCTGGATCTCACATTGCAAACTGAGCAGTTCGAGTCTTGGACCTGGTAGCGTGAAAAACACACTGTGTGAGTATATACATGTGCCTATAATTCCAAGAGGAGAATGGAGGAAGAGGGATTGCAGCCTGACCATTTCCCCTGAGAAGTGCTTTCTCACTTTCCTTCTCTCTTTTTGTCTCTCTCTAGTGAATGCACGCAGCATGCACCCTATAGAAAAAAAAAATCATTTTCTCTTTCTTTTCTTCTTCATTAGTTAGTCCAACTCAAGCTAGAATGTTCTGAATTTGTCCGTTAAACTAGAAGTTCCATAAGGGAAGTAACTGATGCTTAGAAAGTACTTAGGATATAATTAACATATGAGTAAATGAATAATGAATAACCAAGAATCAGTTTTAGATCTTTATCCTAGGATTACTTTGAATGAAAATTAGAAAGCTCATCCATATTTCAGCCTTAGAGGTAGTATCTATGTGCCTGTACAGATATAGGCACCTAACTCAACTCAAACCTTCATCTGTGAGCTCTTGCTTCTACTCTCCAGAGTGTATTGTCCTAGTGATAAGCCAGGTAGTAAAGGCATTTAAACTTTGTACTACCAGGTATATAAAATGAATTGGCATCCTATGCCTCAATGAAAAGATAAGTGATATAAATTGAATATTTCACATATTACCAAATTTATTCTTGGCTGTGAGAATTGTTTATACCTATAAGCACCACAGGATAAGCCAATTTCAAATATAATGTTTCTGTTTCCCCTTCTTTTATTTACTCAATTTTGTAAGACAGGGTCTTGCTGTGTCATGACCCTCCTGCCGAAAGGACTTCTAGCAGGGACAAGTGTGTGACACCATGCTTGGCTCTTTCATGCAGGGTCTTACTTAGGCTGCCCAAGCCAGCCTCAAGCTCACGATCCTCCTTCCTTAGCCTCCTGAATTGCTGGGATTATAGGGGTACGATACAGTGTCTGACATTTAAGTAGGCCTGGGATTAGAACTCATGTCCCTATGAAGTTCCAGTCTACAGAGCAGAGCATTTTAGCAGTGCAGGCTCCCACTGCCGAGCTCAGTTTTATTTTATTTTTCCTTTGCAATAAATTTGGGCACTTCTTCTTTTTTTTTCTTTCGTTTTTTTTTTTTTTAAACTGTACCCTCACACTTTCAATTGATAAACTTTATCAGTAAAAAAATGTTAACTTAAGTACAAACAATAATGTATCCAAAGTGAATGATATTATATATTGTCCATAAAAATAAAATTATTTTTCTCCCTTTTTGCTAATGCCTTTTCATTTTTTCCTTCTTGCTGACAAATGGGAAATAATTCCTCAACATTTTTGGAAGGAAAATCATGTAATTCTTAAAATAATCACTTGAATCTGTGTAGAATGGGTGACTATAAGACAAGTTCTTATCTGTGATACATTAAAATCAACTAGAAAACAGTAAGTTGAAGAACTTCATGATGTAATGGTTAGAAAATTAAATTGACATACTGTTCCTGAATTTCTACTACTATTCTAAATATGGAAATACTATCGTTTCTATATTATTAATAATTTGTATTTTTCTTTCTTTAAAGAGAGGTTTGCTATAGGGTGCATGTGCTTGCCGAAGAGACAGAGTGACAGAAAGCAAGAAATCACCTCCCTCCCCCCCCGAGGGAATGGCCATGCTGCAATCCCTACTCTTTCATTCTCCTCTTGGGATGTTAGGCATGTGTGCAGACACATCTGGTGAGGGTAACTTGTATTTTAAAAAAGGAAAACATGGTAATACCCAAAGAGAGATCTGTAAAAAAAATGTTTCAAAAACTCTTGCATTAAGAATAGCATTGTGAACATAAAGTTGAGACCTGTGGTTATAAGTTTTAGAAGTATATTTTCGAAGAATATTTTGAAAGGTATAGCTCAAGAGTATCATTAATAGTCCTAAAACATATATATATGAAAGTCAATGAACTGAATAAAATCTTATTAAAGAACAAAAACAAAATTTTATATAAGGAAAACTTCAAGGTTCTATGTCTTCGCAATCACTCAGTGACAGTGCAATCTCTTTATCTTATAAGTATAAAAATCAGGTAACTTGCTTTTTGCTTCTGCATAGCCTGAAATCCCCTACGAGATTTAGTGTTTTCTCACAGGTCCTCATGGCCTGTGGAATATATTCATGACATCTGGTGATAGTCTAAGATCAGCAAACTGCCCTCTGTTATGGTCACATCTTTTATGTATGTATGTATGTATGTATGTATGTATGTATGTATTTAATTTTTGGAGAGGTTTTTGCAACAGGGTGCGTGCGCTCGCCAGAGAGACAGAGAGAGAGAGACAAAGAGACAGAAAGTGAGAAATCAACCCCCCCCCCCCAGGGGAGATGGCCATGCCACAATCCCTTCTCCTCTATTTTCCTCTTGGGATCTTGGGCACACATGCACATGCGCCTGGTGCAAGTTTTAAGCTGCCGAGTCCAGGACTCAGACTATGGTCAGTCAAGTGGGAGTCCAGCAACATAACCATTATGGCATCTGCTGGTCTCTTTACAGTAACATCTGTGTATTACCTTGAGAGGGCTTGCTTAGTCTTTCTAAATAATGCTGCTCATTACCCTCTACCAACCCTCATCCACAACCTCAAGTCCAGGGTTCCTCACACTACCACTGGTCATGAAAGCAAAGAACTGCTTGAGTATTTGAGGAGGTTTGGGGGAATAATTTTATAATTACCAGACAGCCCAATCTAAGAATCGAAAAGGTACTGGACACTATTCATAGGTCTAGTGCTATTAAAGTTTACTTAATATCATTAGACATCTTTACAACATTAGATTTTGAAGAAATCTAGCTATTATTCACCTAACCTTTCTGGAAAGGGGAGAGAAAGAGAGAAAGTTCAATAGATCTCATATACAGCTGAATATAATATGCCTATAGGTTGCATGCATGTATGTATGTATGTATCTTTCTACCTATATATGAGAGAAGAGGAATAGGGAGAGGAAAGATGAATTTTATCACTAAGATCTCTCTATGTTAGCACCCTCCTGTCTCAATCTCCCAGCTAGCTAGGACTACAGGCTGGCAGATGTGGGTTACGGTGCACGACCTATTTAGGTTGGACTTCAACGTGTGGCCTCAGACCCTGTATGCCACTGCAGCTGAGCCAAGCCTGTAGGTTTTGGAAGTTAGGCAACTGGACAAAGATATGATTAAGAAAACAAACCTATAATAAGAAATATTATTTCTTCCCCACTGCTTTTAATTTTTCATACTTAGTTCTATCAGTAACATCAGAGCTAGTAGAGGTCATTGCAATCAAATACCTCAATAACCTTGGGTAAATCACTAGCTCTTTCTTCTTATTTTCTTATATTTTAAAAGGGTTTACCACATTGATCTCCAAGCTCCCTTCATACTGGAATGTTGTCTCCTTTATATTCTAGATTCAATTATCAGGCAGATTAAACACAGATTCATCTGCCACGTCCTTGAGGGTTTCCAATTGTAATTAGTAGTGTAGGAACAAAATATTAAAGCATTTAACTTATACCTGTTTTTAACCTAAAGGGATGAGAAAAGGACTTAGCTTTTCTGATCTTTACTATTCTAGCTGACAGCGATGCTTACTTGATGTTTCCAGGAGAGTAGGAGTGCCACAGAGCAGAGGGTCAGCAGAGAAACCCTCTTTCTTTGTCCATTTTCGACAGACAGCACATTACTTATGCCTGGTTATGGGGATTTACAGATATTATCGAATGCTTACCAGATAGACAAGAGGCTTACAAGGATTTCTGCAAAGTAATCTCAGATTAAAAATAATACCAATAATACAAACATAAGTAAATGACTAAAACTGCGAGGGCAGATATGTTTTTTTTCTTAGAATAAGTTTTGTCAGCATCCTTATGACATAAACAATGAGTATCAATTTATTGGGTTGTCGGGAAAGTCATGACAGATTTTTGTGTAGAGAAACACATCATGACTTTCCTAACAATCTAATAGATCAGATAAAACATAGTCCATCCTGATCAAAATTATCAAGAAATATTAGCAGTGGGTGCTATCCTTAATTATGAATCTTTTTTTTTTTTTTGAGAGATTTTTGCTATAGGGTGTGTGCACTTACCAGAGAGAGAGATAGAGAAACAAAAAAGAGAAGTCATCCCCTTGGGGGGTGGCCACAACATAATCCCTTCTCCTCCAGTCTCATCTTGGGATTTTGGACATGCACACATATGTGTCAGTGTGAGTTTCAAGCTGCCATGTTAGGGATTGAAACCATGGTAGATCATGTGACATTCTAGCAACAGAACCATTACGTCATCTGCTGGTCCCAATTTTGAGTCTTTCTCCTTGTGTGTACAATGGGTCTCGTGGTGCTTGCTAAGAATGATAGCATTGACACAAAATTTTAGCAAGTACGTAATGTAGATGTGTACACATGTATATGTATTTGACAGTTGGAATTTTTACTGAGAGGAGTAAAGGATCGACAACATTTAATGCCCTTCTTAGGGAAAAGTGGCTGCTGCTGCTGGATGCACCATGGCACAGTGTCTGTTCACATTGGGGCCCTCAGACCTGGCTCAGAATCACGCCTCTAAAATACACGACTAGCTACGCAGCCTGCAGGAAGCCTCTCAGTTTCAGATTTGTAATTTCAAAGCTATGAAGTAAATACCCATCTTGCAGAGATGTTCTGGGAGTTGAACAAGACTATTTGACAAATAGAGGGCTCAATAAATATTAATTTTTTCTCTTACCCTTAAATTGACAAAAAAACAAAGACATAAATCTCTGTAAAAGGGAGGGAAAATCAGGAATACAGTATGATAACATTTTTACCACTTGCAGTTGCATTAGTTGTTTCTTCTAAGATACACTATAATAATTTGCCCCACTACAGAATTTGTCTATAGCAATTGAGATTTAAGGCTCAAATTAGTAACATTTATTTAACTTACCACATTAAAATCTAAGTTTTTTTCAATCCATGCTTTTGCTTCTTGAAATTCATTTTTCATTTCCATAATAAAAAGTGTATCCAGGGCATCTACTATAGTTGCTCCTTTGATGTTACCTAAAAATACCAGAAAAATATTTGTTCAATAAAATACTTTGGACAGATACACGCAAATTGACCACACCTAGGGAAGGGAAAGGATGATACTGAATTTATTAGTAAGCAATGATATTTAATACAATTTAAAATTGTTTGGCTGAAAGAAATGTAAAAACTACTCCAAGAGCAAACTAAAAATTGTCACAGGATATAGATTGATATATTAAAGTTTCTTCTGAGTTGTAGAAAACAAGCCTTTTAGAAATTTCACTTGATTGCATTCCCTAGCAGGAAAAGAATAGACCTAAAACAAAAGAGCAACATTCATATTCATTTTTATATAATTACATTGACACACACCTGTAAAAAACTATCTGAATATAATTAGATACTGAATTGTCTGGTAATTGCATTAAGAAAGCATTACTCTAAAATAAAATCTACCCTTTATATGAAACTGACTGATCCTAACCCCTGGCCACCTCTCACCCCAACACAGCTAGGCAGTCCTGACACTGATTTATTTGCTTTGAACTCGTGAACGGTGACTTTATTGCCCTGGAACACTCATTAGCTCCAGTCTTGTATAAAAATTACTTTTGTACATCTTTTAGGCTATAAACATTCTTAGGACAGAGGAAGCATGTCTTGCTCATCTCCAGGTTCCTTATGGTGCCCTGCACAATTGTGACAGTGATACCCATTGAATAGCTGTTGATAGATCAGGTATTTTACTTTCTACAGATAATCAGTGTTCTGGACAGTTCAAGACCAAATTTTTTTTCTTTTGGAGAAGTTTTTGCTATAGGGCACGTGCGCTCGCCAGAAAGACAGAGAGAGACAGAGAGACAGAAAGCGAGAAATCACTCCCTGGGGGGATGGCCATGCCGCAATCCCTTCTCCTCCATTCTCTTCTCGGGATCCTGGGCACACACACACATGTGCCCGGCATGAGTTTTAAGCCACCAGGTCTGGGACGCGAACCACGGTCGACTACATGGGAGTCCAGTGACATAGCCATTACACTAGCTGCTGGTCCCCAAGACCAAATTTAAATAGAAATCTAAATGGAAATTATTTTGTTGGCACACTCCATTCAAATACCAAATTTAGACATTAGCATTAGAAAACTGGTGGTTGAGGTGCTGGACTCCCACATTGCTACTGTGGTTTGAGTCCCGGACTTGGCAGCTTGCTTTCTCATTTTCTCCTCTGTCGCTCTCTAGCCAAATTAAAAAGTAATGATAATAAATAAAAATTAAATAAATAATTCTAAAAAAAGAAAAGTACAGGTACTAAAGTATTAAAATACTTAATTTAAAAAATATATAAATTTTAAATCTTAGTAATAAGGAGAAAAACATGAGAGCCTTTAATTTTTATGACACATTTTACTGTAATTCAATTTTCTTTACTATTGCATTTTTTAACTTTTTTTTTGCCTTCTGGTAGAACTATGGATTCAGGAGCTGGCCCTGTGGCCTAGTAGTTAAGGGAACCAATCCCTCATAGCTAGCCATGGCTTGAATTCTGGCCTGAGTAACTTGCAAAACATGTCAGGCATATGTGGATGCATGTCCAGAATCCTGACAGGATGGAAGAAATGGGGAACGGATTATAGTGCAACCATGCTCCTTTGAGGGGTATGTTCTCTCTTTCTCTGTCTCTTACTCTCTGGTGAGGGCAATTAGAAAAACAAAAACAAAAACAAAACCTATGGATTCATATGGCAGGAATATCGTGAAGCGGGCATTTTGAAACATGTTAGCTTCATCTTTTTATTGATATCTCATTTCTAAGACATTAAGAGCTTTAAATATTTTATGTCTTACATTTTATCTGTGCAGAGTACAAATGGGCAAATACAAAATATCTCTTTTTGAGATTTCATTTCTACTTCAATTATTATTATTATTATTATTATTATTATTATTATTATTATTATTATTATTATTATTATTATTATTATTATTATTATTATTATTATTATTATTATTATTATTATTATTATTATTATTATTATTATTATTATTATTATTATTATTATTATTATTATTATTATTATTATTATTATTATTATTATTATTATTTTACCTCTGTAATCTTGAAATAGTATTTCTACTTTCTTGTCTGAAGAAGAATTGGAAGATGATGAGTACTTGAGAATTTTTTTTTTTATGTTCATTAAAATTGCTTTAAGGTAATGGAGTAACCAGTCTTATTCTCTCTGAGAAATAGATACAAGAGTTCAACAAAACTGGAGAAAAACAACCATGAGAAGAAAGCAAGCAGTTTGATTGTTTGTTTTAGTTTTCGCTAGACAGTGCATGTGTTTTCCAGAGACAGACAGACGGAGAGAGGGAGAAGAAAAATGAGAAATCACCGCCTTCCCCCAGGGGGATGGCCAAGCCATAATCCCTTCTCCTCTAGTCTCCTCCGGATTTGGGCTATGCACACACACATGCCTGGACATGGGAAGGAAGCAGACTTAAAGGGCTCTCTAATGACTAAAACTTGGGAAAGCTTAGATTGTAAATAACTAATACACCCTACAAAATAAATAAGAGTTTTTTTTTATAATCAAAATTTAGAATAACCTATGTCAAACTAAGAATCATCTCTTAAAAGTCAGGTAGTCAGAAGATTTAAGTTTTTCTGTTTTTTAGCTTGTTTGCTGAGAGAACATACAGGACTATGTAGTATTCACAGATAAGGATCTTCTCTGAAAAGTGGGCTAAAGATCATTTGAAAGTTCCCTCATCTGTAAAAATGAAAACTTTATATTTCTTTGTAACAAGTCCCACTATATTGGGATTACTATTAGAAAAACCTTACGTATCTTATTTTAATTTGAAAATGGAGATAAATATCATTTGAATTAAGATTTCATTTCCTTATATTAATACCTGAAGCTCTTTTTCTTTGTTTAAAGAGTAAATTCTTATCTAGATTATGAAAACTGGTTTTATTGCAAAAGCTACTAAAAATGTTAAAAAAAAAAAGTAAGGCAAACGAGACAGTACATTTAAGAGAGTTTTGCTATAGGATGCATGCTCTCACTGAGAGAGACCAAGAGAGACAGGAAGTGAGAAATCACCCCCCAGGGGCATGGCCATGCCACAATCCCTTCTCCTCTTTTCTCCTCTCAGGATTTTGGGCATACATGCACATGTGCCCAGTGCAAGTTTTAAGCCACCAGGTTTGAGACCTGAACCATGGTCAACTATGTGAGAGTCCAGTGACATAACCATTACACCATCTGCTAGTCCCAACACAGCTGATTTCTTAATGACACAAACAACTTTCATAGAAATAAAAGCAAAATCTGAGTTAGATCTTTAAAAATGTTATAATAAATAATGAAAAAATAGAGGCCTCTCAGCATGAGGTGTTAGAGTTTCTCTCTTCAATTCATACGTCTCATCACCCATATTAACTGGTCACTATGTCCTCAAAACACTACTTCAGAAATGTCTGAAATCACTTCTACCGTCACCACTCCAGGTTTAGGGCCTCTTTACCTTGTATCACTGTGATAGACCAACTCGCCTCTTTTCTTCTTTCCTTGCAAGTGTACCCTACCTGTTCTTGCACCCTCTGTAATGCCCTTCTCCCTACCTGAGATCTTGTGGGTTCCTCAGAACTTTATCTGAATATCTATTGAACCACTGAAGTACTTTGATAATTCACTATTTACACATAGGTGTTCTGCATGAGGCTGTGAATTCTACAAAGATGTGTATTATATTCACTAACACCAGTACTGGAAGTAAATCCAAACACATGTAAGGCCCTAAATACATGGAAAAGCACAGTGGAATGCTTAGGAACATGGACTCTGACTTTAGCCACACCAGGGTTCAAGTTCCAGCTCAGCCAGTTAGCAAGGGGCTCCCTGTGGGAAAGCTACTCTCTGAGCCTCATATAAAATGTGGATTACACTGAGGTTAAGTGAGATGATGCATGAATGGCACTTGGCACACAGTAAGTATTGAATAAATGTCGGCTGTAACTTATTTGTTATATGAATTGATACTAGCACTTTCAGTTATATTTTCTTTTTTTTTTGTGAGAGGTTTTTGCTATAGGGCGCGTGCGCTCGCCAGACAGAGAGAGACAGAGAGATAGAAAGCAGGAAATCACCCCCCAGGGGGGATGGCCACGCCGCAATCCCTTCTCCTCCATTCTCCTCTCAGGATCTTGGCCACAGACGCACACGCGCCCGGCGTGAGTTTAAGCCACCGGGTCCGGGACTCGAACCGCGGTCGACTACGTGGGAGTCCAACGACATAGCCATTACGCTAACTGCTGGTCCCAGTTATATTTTCTTTTGATGAATTCCTAAGTCCCAGAGTAAGACTGCATTCCGTTTATCTTGTTACTTACAGACAAAATTTTGGTAATGAGAAAGAAGTCAAGTGAGTAGGAAGGGCAGTGGGTAGCTCCAAGACCCCAAAAATCCAACAAGCCTTTGTGTTACTTACCTTTCTTGCTTCCACAGTGGGATATTATTAACGCCCACAGTCCTAACCACAAAGGTTGCTGTGAGGACCAAGTGCAATAAAGCATGAAAAATGGATAAAATGAATTTCAAATAACTGGTGTAATCTATCCTCACTTTCCTTTCCATGGTACAAACAAGGTCCACCTACAGCTGAAGTTGAAATAGAGAAGAGCACCAGGTCTGGTTGTGCTAATCAGTGTACCTATAAACGATGCAACTTTTAGCTGACAAGAAGCAGTTAATGCAGCTGATCAAATGCTCCTCTCTCTCTCTCTCTCTCTCTCTCTTTTTTTTTTTTTGAGAGGTTTTTGCTATAGGGCACGTGCGCTTGCCAGAAAGACAGAGAGAGACAGAGAGACAGAAAGCAAGAAATCCCCCCCCAGGGGGGATGGCTACATCACAATCCCTTCTCCTCCATTATCCTCTTGAGATCTTGGGCACACATGCACACACGCCCAGCGTGCGTTTAAGTCACCAGGTCCCGTACTCAAACCGTGGTCAAGTACATGGGAGTCCAGCGATACAGCCATTACGCTAACTGCTGGTCCCAAAATGCTCCTCTCTTAAGAATCATTCAGGGAGCTAAAAATCCTAATGCTGCACCCACAGTAATAAAGTAAGAATCTCTGTAAGCAGGCTCCATAGATCAGTACTTTAAAAAATTTATTATTATTATTTGCAGAAGGCATGTGTGCATACATACATGTGTGTGTGTGTGTATGAGAGAGAGAAAGAGAAAAATAACACACCTCCCATAGAGATATGGTCATACTACAATTCTTTTTCTTCCATTTCTTCATCCTGTCAGGATTTGGGGAACACATACACATGCACCTTTCAAGTCACTGGGGCTGGTATTTAAACCATGGTTGAGCACATGAGGTCCAGCTCCCTATGCACAGCACATAACTACTGTGCTATGTGGCCAGCCTGGTATCAGTATATTAAAAGCTATGCTGTTCATTCTAATGTGCAGCCACCGCTCTATCTGAAGGACACACTATGTACAGTCCTTGCAGATAACTCCATCAGGTGTGTAAGTTTCCTAGCAACCCAGCCTAGAGGGTCACCTTATTACACAAACTTTTCTACCAGCCATAAATTCAGGCAAATGGAGAGAAACTACTGTCACTAAGAAACCAAAGCACATACTACTCACCAAACAAACTGCTTGAATGGCCTTCTTTTGATATAGGTTTCAGTTCATTTAGTCCCCAGGCATAATGTTTATAATTATTCCAAGCATGTTTCATCATCTGGAAAAAAGATGAAAATGAGATTATAACTTGAATTGAGATGTTTATACTACAAAATAGATTATATATTAATGATATAAACGTTAAAGCATTAAAATTCACAACTTAGTTAAAAGGACGATGATTGATTAGTGTGATGACAGCACAAGTACACTGGAATGTACACACGTAAACACACACTACCCCTTTATGTTTGCATTGAATTTTTTTTTCTTTTTTTGAGTCTAGTTCATCATATTTAACATAAAAATTATTTTTCAAAAGTCAGTTCACCAAAACAGAAATTTAGTTTATCATAAAAGGAGGAACCACTCCTATATCTATCTATTTTATTCTAATAACAGATTCAATCTGCAAAAACTCCCTATTCAAAATTCATCTTTTTGCACAAGGTTCTTCTTATTTTGTGGACCTCATATTATACAAATATTCAAGATTATCATATTAAACACCAATGTGTCTTGACCAAGACTATATGAAAAAAATATTTAAAAACATCTATAGGAAATGAAAAACAAACCTCTATATAGATTCTGAAAAACTCTAATTTAATACAATAAATCTTTATTAGGATAAATATTTATATAAATTGGTCCCCTATGTTCCCAATCAAGAGTCCTCAATGTACCAGCAGGTTTTTGTTGTTGTTGCTGTTTGTTTGTTTTTTAAGAGAGATTTCAGAACAAGAAATCACCCATGAGGAGGATGGCCACGCCACAATCCCTTTTCCTTCATTCTCCTCTGGGGACTTTGGACATGCACATACAAGCACCCAACATGAGTTTTAAGCTGCTGTGTCTGGGACTTGAAACGTGGTCGACAACGTAGGAGTCCAGTGACAAAACCATTACCTTATCTTCTGGTCCCTGGTTTTATGAGCCAAAACACTCTGGCATAAATCAGTTGTGTAATTTTTTTTCAATGACTCAAAGAAAATATATAATTATTTGTATATATTTTTTAAAAAGGGGTTGGTTGAGGATTCCTCAACCAGAGGACTAGAATTTACTCATGCCACAAACCCCAATCTTTGTGGATATAACTAGCAAATGTTCTAATCTGGCTATGTATTTTAAAATATCTTAAAGGCATCACAGAAGGTTATAGATACTATTCATTGAAAATTTTTCAGTGTGATCAATATGATTTTATTATAACAAAATCGTATATGTCCCTGAATACAACAATGAGCTTCCTGCTTTTACCAATTTGTATATTACCCTCCTACTTCACCACTTACTATTACTAATAGTTGCCAAGCATCTGTACTACCTGCTGCATACTCTGCTAAATGATGTATTATCAGCATTGTATGAGCAGGCCACAAAAAATACATGAAGAAAATAGACTTTATTTCAGTATGAGTTTATTGTGGTGCCAAAAAATAAATGTAAATCTAATGCACAGATTTTTCATAGTTTGTATTTTCTATGAAGTTTTGGAAATCCTTTGTACTTAATCCTTACTACATCCCTATGAAATATGTTTTATTACCACTGTTACATAAATGAAGAAACTGAGGCTTGGAGTTTAGAAAACAAACAAAAAACCTTTACGCCGTTATAACATTTCTCTACCACCACAGAACCAAGGTTCATCCCCATGTTGGCTTAACTCCAAAGTCTATGCCTTAACCACAGCATCTCGCATTAATGAGTCAGCAACAGTATCTTCCTTTAATGACTCCAATTGTTTTTCTTCCAACAATTGAAAGAATGTGTATAGGGTGTGTTTTCAAGATTTCCGTCTTATAAAGCAATTTTATTGGAAAGTATAATAGATTTGGCAGTTAATTAACTTGATATATAATCTCTATGATGCCACTGGTTAGTTGTATACTTACGGATGACTCATACTTTTCATGAGAGTCTTTTCCCTGTCTAAAAAATTGGGATAATTCCTCACGGGTCTATGGAAAAATTATAAGAGCATGACCTGTGTTTTTGTACCTAGCATAATACTTGACAGATGGCAGGTAATCACATGTTTATTGAGTTTTAAATTTAAATGGAAACCAACTGAATACACATTACAAAAAATAGAAACCAATGAGCCTCATGGAGATTAGTGAAACGTGGTCGACAACGTAGGAGTCCAGTGACAAAACCATTACCTTATCTTCTGGTCCCTGGTTTTATGAGCCAAAACACTCTGGCATAAATCAGTTGTGTAATTTTTTTTCAATGACTCAAAGAAAATATATAATTATTTGTATATATTTTTTAAAAAGGGGTTGGTTGAGGATTCCTCAACCAGAGGACTAGAATTTACTCATGCCACAAACCCCAATCTTTGTGGATATAACTAGCAAATGTTCTAATCTGGCTATGTATTTTAAAATATCTTAAAGGCATCACAGAAGGTTATAGATACTATTCATTGAAAATTTTTCAGTGTGATCAATATGATTTTATTATAACAAAATCGTATATGTCCCTGAATACAACAATGAGCTTCCTGCTTTTACCAATTTGTATATTACCCTCCTACTTCACCACTTACTATTACTAATAGTTGCCAAGCATCTGTACTACCTGCTGCATACTCTGCTAAATGATGTATTATCAGCATTGTATGAGCAGGCCACAAAAAATACATGAAGAAAATAGACTTTATTTCAGTATGAGTTTATTGTGGTGCCAAAAAATAAATGTAAATCTAATGCACAGATTTTTCATAGTTTGTATTTTCTATGAAGTTTTGGAAATCCTTTGTACTTAATCCTTACTACATCCCTATGAAATATGTTTTATTACCACTGTTACATAAATGAAGAAACTGAGGCTTGGAGTTTAGAAAACAAACAAAAAACCTTTACGCCGTTATAACATTTCTCTACCACCACAGAACCAAGGTTCATCCCCATGTTGGCTTAACTCCAAAGTCTATGCCTTAACCACAGCATCTCGCATTAATGAGTCAGCAACAGTATCTTCCTTTAATGACTCCAATTGTTTTTCTTCCAACAATTGAAAGAATGTGTATAGGGTGTGTTTTCAAGATTTCCGTCTTATAAAGCAATTTTATTGGAAAGTATAATAGATTTGGCAGTTAATTAACTTGATATATAATCTCTATGATGCCACTGGTTAGTTGTATACTTACGGATGACTCATACTTTTCATGAGAGTCTTTTCCCTGTCTAAAAAATTGGGATAATTCCTCACGGGTCTATGGAAAAATTATAAGAGCATGACCTGTGTTTTTGTACCTAGCATAATACTTGACAGATGGCAGGTAATCACATGTTTATTGAGTTTTAAATTTAAATGGAAACCAACTGAATACACATTACAAAAAATAGAAACCAATGAGCCTCATGGAGATTAGGTATATGAAATCCACAAAAACACCTTGGCATTATATTTTATTTTCCCCCCATTAAGTGGGGGAAAAAATTGGTAAACTCTTCATTCCTGTAAATTATAAAACATTGCATAAATTCAAAAGCTTTCAGAATCTACTGGGTTATGAAACTGAAAAAATAAAGTTACAGTAATTTGTTTTACCTCCAAATCTGAACTGTGCTATATACTTTCAATGACTTAAAGATAGTATAAAGTTTGCCCATAGAAGACTGTGTGGCTTTCTCGAAAGTTATCATTTATACAATGTACCACTGGCACAGAAACTCCTGAAGTAACTTCTGTGGTATATATTAATTTTTTCTTACCTTCTTTTCCCAAGGGAAAATCTGACACTAATTGCTTAGCTTTCTACATTTTAAAAGTTGCTGTGACACATTTCTCAAAATGGGTTCCTCATCCCATGTGATTTCTATGACTTAAAGTTAGAAAAAGAAAATGAAGTGGTCAAAATGCCCTGAATGGAGCATCAGGAGTGGTTTCCCATCATCTGTAAAGTGAAGAGACACAGCCTCATTATTAACTGATTCCAGTGGTAGATCACCTCTGGAAATGATTTACCATATTACAGTTAACTGCAAGATACTGAGTGTGTGCTTCTATGCACACATTTGAGATTGAACTAATAAGTCACATATAAAAATCAACTTAATTCAGATTTATGACTTATACAAATATTTGAAAACATCAATACGCCACTAGCTTCTAATTTTGCAGTAGTAAGTCACCAGCCAGCTGAGGAACCATGGGATGAAGGCATTTAATTTCTCCAGGCTCAGTGTTCTCACAAATGACACAAAGTCACTTAAAAAATTCATATAACAAAGAACTCAATGTATAGGGCTGATCCCCCCTGTACAAGTCCCTTCATTTTGTTTTGTGGGCTTTCATCAACTTAATTGGGTTCTACAGCATGACATCCCAGACAGAAGGATTAAAATAGACTTAAGCTAGAAGTTGATCAGGACTTTAAATGCAACACTGAAGCCCACACGAAAAAAGATAAATTGAGAGCAAACCAAAGATGTTTTATTCCTGGATATTTATATTTGCATTGGTCAAAGGTATGGCTAATGTACCATATGAATGGAAACAAACAAAACAGAATGATACACCATTTCATAAAAGCAATCCATTATTTTGACCCAGAGAAGATGGAATTAAAGCATAAGACAGCCAAAAAAAAGAAAAGAAAGAAAACCACCAACAAAAAAAACAAACATTATTTCTTCTTCTTCTAGATTCTTATGCTTATAGAAAGGTGTATTTGATTTGCACTTTCTTCTCTTTTGACATCAGGACTAATTAGGCAATGTCATTTATTGAGTTTCTGCTACACTATGAATAATATGATGCTAAACGACTAGAATACAGGATTCTATATGATTTATAATCTAATAGATAATATGTGGACGCTTAAAATTCTACCTTACTACACTCAACAAATGTTTATAAATGCCAGAGAACAATAAGGAAACTAATTAAATGTTGCATATAACTTTATCATCACACCTAACAATTTATTTTACATTTATGTCCTGACCTTATCAAGGACATAGGAAAGAATGGATGTTTTAATTTCTCCAGGTATGTGTAGATTCCATAACTTGCATTTTGGTTGCTAGGAACTACTCT